AATATTATATGAATTCACTTTACCATACGTATAAATTCATGTATACTAGATATTGTCCCATTCTACTATAGATTCATTTTAATATTATATGAATTCACTTTACCATACGTATAAATTCATGTATACTAGATATTGTCCCATTCTACTTAGATTCATTTTAATATTATATGAATTCACTTTACCATACGTATAAATTCATGTGTACTAGATATAGTCCCATTCTACTTAGATTCATTTTAATATTATATGAATTCACTTTACCATACGTATAAATTCGTGTATACTAGATATAGTCCCATTCTACTCAAACATGTCTATAGTCATGACTTAATATTCTAAGGTAGTAAGCAACACGTACGATGATGTTTTAGTTCAAACTTTATTTAACAGGAGGCTTAGACTCCTTGAAATTTCTTTATTTGGGAAAGCAGTCTCACTTACTTTTGGAATGGTTAAAACCCATCTTCATAGTTAATAAAGCAGTTTGATTTGTCTCGGCAGAGGTGTAATTTTCCAGGGCTGGTAGTGTCAGATAACATTCTTACCTGGTATATTGTCCCACTTCCCTGTCATGTCCCTGTATATGTATTTTAATTATCCTACCATCTGAATCTGACCATCTTTAAACGTGTTTGTGTAGGCAACACCTACTCAGCTGTAATTTGGTTTCCACATTAAAATATGTATGGTGGTAACTTCTAGTTCTGTAATCATACACTAACTAAGGTTTTTTGTTTTTAAATGGGTAATAAATCGAGTAATATGGATGTGTTTTAAATATATATATCACACATACAGAGGGTTGATTACGTTATATTAGAACGATTTTGAAAATCCAAATTATCAACTCACGTGACAACTATAGCCGTAGTGGAACGGAATGTACCAGAACTACATTTTGACATTGTTTGGCATCGTAGATAGTGTGATGACATCTAAAATTGATCGATTTTGGGAAAAGTATGTAACAGTCCTTTTCAAAGCAAAATATTTATACACTCAGATCATACTGATGTTTTCAGATCAGGTATTTAGGTTTTCAAGACAGGAGTATCTTTGGTTCTTGATTGTACTAGAAAACAAAGCAATGTGGAACAACTTTGGGTGCTTACATCGCCTACAAAAGTCGTACCCGCTTTGGTAAGCAGAGTGCATCGTCTTGTAACAGGAGAGGGTTCACGAATTTAAAAGTCAGTGGCAAAAGCTGTCCTCCTGTTTTAGGCAACGGTACGTCACGTGATGAGAAGGATCTCCGTCTGGGAAAGTGGCACAAGCTGCTTCCACGACATATTCATTTAACCGTTATGTATCTCAAGCAGCTGGAGAATGAATGCGTATTCATGCTATTCCGTACAAAGACATTCCGGTAAAGCCGCTGACTATGAGTTTCTCTGCATTTATACTGTTAAAAACGGGCCCTTGGAAACTGTCGTCTTCGTACAGTGGATGACTTATGGAAAGAAAGCAGGAAATAGTGGTGTACTTTTGAGATAACAGCCTTTCGACGGAACTTTTGTAGTGGAAACTACGCTGCAGGGTTGTTGTCAAGACTGGCTGTCAGATCGGATATGAACAAACATAGCAACGTGAATTGTAATACGAGAGATGCTTCAAAATCGTTTTGATATAAAGTACTCAATCTTTGTATATGTTGAAACTGAGTCGTGATCCTCTGGCTGATGCTTGACAAAGATGACAGTTTGATACAAATTAAAGTCATCAGTATTTATTACTGTGTAAGAGTATGTTTGTTGTACGTGTCTTCATATAAAGCTGGTGGATGGTAGAAAATTAATTCTTGGCACGACGAATACGCTATTATTGAAGGTTTTCAAGACTGTTTAAGTGGAACTGTTAAACAATAGTTGCTTTTGTGCAGATGCTGTTCTCGATGTTGGTTAAGTTCTTTTTTGGCCAGTAAGATTATTTTTCTTTACATTTAAAGTATAAAGGCATGACTAAGTGGGGATGTATTATGTAATATCGCTAGGCATGACTAAGTGGGGATGTATTATGTAATATCGCTAGGCATGACTAAGTGGGGATGTATTATGTAATATCGCTAGGCATGACTAAGTGGGGATGTATTATGTAATATCGCTAG